TACACAAATGTGTGGGTTTGGTGGTGGTTTGTTCGTCTTAATAAAAGTTATCAAAAACTTTAATTACATTTTAAAGACATCATGGGACCCACATGTACACGCTTCCAACGACACTTCAAAACGTTAATCCTACGCTAATTGTGTAATTAATTAAAACCTTTGCGTAATTAAAGCTTCAATCAAATATTTTCAGTTACTTTTACATTACATTTTCACCATCTCTCATCGCCGTACCAATTGTTCTTCTCTTTTGGTCCCGTCGGACCTTCTTCGCCGGATAATTCCACCGGAAGTTTACTCAACACGGTAGCAATCGAAACCCTAACAGTCCTCGGAAATCGATTCATCAATCTCTCTGCCTCCTCCCTCGAATCGTACACAACTTTTGGTCCCCATTCTCTCATATACTGTAGCCACGGTGGCTCTTTCACCACCGCCACACCGTCGCCGACTAGATACTCCGCCGCAACGATCTCGTACTTTGAGCTCGAATCAACGAAGTAATCGCTAATCGCAGTATCGTTCCTTATCCCAATCCCAAGCATCGTCGATCCTTGTAAGTAAATCCCAGCCTTAGGAAAACTCGCGTGACCATGTTTCGACGAGTAAACAATTGCCTTGTTGGTTCCTCGAACGAATTCTAGATCGTAAGATTCGATCCACTCGCCGCCACTGTGTTGAGAGAAGTAGATTGAGTAAAGCTCACCGGAGAAATTGCTGATTCTGAGTGTGAAATGTTCCCAATCACAGACGTGTTGGCCAATACCGATCAATGAGACATCGATGAGTCCTAGCTTTAGGGTTGCTGGTCCGTTAAATGGACAGAAGATCCAGAAGACTAGATCCGTGAACGTTCCTCCAAGTGCAGGCTTAATGTGAATGTAAAGTTTCGAGCTTTCGAGGTTTCCTCGCTTGACGAAATCTCTTTGTTGATCATCACACGGCAAATCGATCCAGAATTGCTTGTCGTTGCTTCCTCCTTGAGGCAAATTTGAGCCGTTTTGATCGATAAGTTGATGGTTCGGGTTTCCCTTTTCGTAGAGAACTGCGCCGTTGTTGAATAACCACGGAACGGATGATGGTAAGTAGATTTCACCAGGGTGGAAGATTAGTTTTGGACCATAGTGTTGAATCAAAGCTTGTATCTGATCAACATTTGGCATTGCTTGTAAACTTGAATCTAGATTCTTTAGACAAGCAATACCGAGTTCTTCTCTAGCAACTAGCCGAGTCCTGCAGAAGAAAGTACCTGCAGAGAGGAAAAAATTAGTTAAGGACCACGGTGTTGAATCAAAGCTTGAATCTGATCAGCATTTGGCATGGCGTGTAAACCCGAATCAAAGTTCTTCAGACAAGCGATACCGATATTGAGATCTTCTCTCTGCAGAAGAAATAAAGTACCTGCAGAGACACCTTTGCCCCACATTCCGCGGTCTGAAGGCCGAGTTCTCCATATAAACAAAGGAACACCTAAAGATTCTGAAACAGCAGTGACAATGACTTTACGGTTTTCACATGTATCAGTAAGATCAGCTCTGACACATCTAACTTCATTCAAATCGGGTTTCGTGGAACTCCTTGTAACCACAAAACCGATTGATCTATAACCTTCGGGAGGCTGCGGTAACCAGAAGTAACCGCATTCGCTCTTATTACATTCTTCTTCTAGTGAATCATTCGAGCTCCAGACAAGTGTAAAATCAATAGGTTTCACTAACGCAGGCTTTTCCCCCTGTTCTAATGAATCTACTACATCTCTTGCCACAAGAACATAACCTCTCAAGGGATGAGAATCAGATTGACAGTAGTGACCTAAGCAATGGAATTCTTTAGGCAACAATCCCTTTGGTTTGTAGAAAGAAATTCTCTTGTTCTTGTTCTCCGCGGATCTGAATCGCCATATGAATTCCAAATTCGTGATTTTGATGACTTGTAATTTGCCGAGATTGATTCTTCCGGAGCCAAAGCCTTTACCTGATCAAGTTTTCAAACGCAAAAGATTCTGATTAACCATTGTCTGAATTAGATTTGTGGATACTGGATTTCAAGAACTTGCGAGCTACAATACAGAGATCTGATTATAAACCCAGTCGAATTCCAAGAAATATGGCGAACTTGAGAAACCAAAATCACTTTTTGGCATCGCCCGAAACGTAAATTGAGTTACCTGGAGGCCATTGGGGAATGGAAGTCGGAAGAGAGAAGGTTTCAGGGTCCTTTAATGGCGGTAAATCGCTGAGATTGCTCCAGTGGAGACATTTGTAACCCAACATTCTTATCTGATCTCGTGAAACCCTAATGGGGAAGATGAAAAATGTCAGTTTCGTAGCATCCAAGCGCCTTCGGGAAAAACAAAAAATAAAGTTTTTCTTATTTTAAGGTG